CTAACTTTATATTGTTTTGATGAACAAGTACATTTTGTGCGTGCTATATGAAATATTTATTATTTTAGTTGCCATGAAAAATTCCAAACTAAAAATATCTAATAAATTGTTACATTACCAAATCGCAATGAATAATTCCTTCGTTATGTAAACATGCTACAGCAGATGTAAGTTGAAAGGCTAATTGATATTTATCACTCCATTCTAATTTGTCAAAATTTTCTTTTAAATAAGATTGTAATGATCCTCCATTAGCATATTCCATAACCAACATATATTTGCTTGTTTGATCGATGGAATTCGATTCGAATCGAGATATTCCATAAAACTGGATAATATTTGCATGATAATCAACTTCGCGTTGCATTTTTATCTAAAGTATTTCAAAAATAATTAGATATATTTGTTAATGGAAAAAAATAAATGCGTATATATATATTGTTTACCTCATTAACGATTTCTTTAATGGTTAAGTTATGTGAATATTTTATGGCCATGATAGTACCGGAATCTCCCCAGCTTGCACGAGAAACGTTTCCATAGGAACAACTGCAGATTTCTTCCCTATTAGTGAATTTATCGTAACTATAATATTTAATATATTTTTCTGATATTGCCTTATCTAACCAATCAAGATAAACGTATTCATCTATTTGTTTTGCGGCTGCCATGTTTTAGATGATGAAAAACTACAAATAATGATATCTAATTTAAATATGCAGGTTCGGTTTAAAAGGAAAAAAGTGTTTAATATTCTCCAAACAAAGTAATTATAAAAAAAAGAAAGAATTTTGTGTGACAAACATATGCGCCGAGGGTCGTACAAAATGTGAAAAGGTTCTTACGGCAGATTATTGCATTTTAGTTTTGATGTGATGTTATTAGATTAAAATGCATTAAGCTCTTTATTTTGGTCAAAAATTACTCGGAGTCTGATTTTCCTAGAAATCTCCATCATAAGTAATAATAGTAATACGAAAACAAAAAAAAATTTAATCTTGTCCAATTGAATTAAGTTATATGTGCGACGTAACGCTATATAATTCTTATTTTAATTATGTTTATTCCTAAAATGTAATGCCGAAATTAAACAACATATCAATAATTCCTAATTTCTTTAAAAAAATATATATATTACATATATTTTTAATAAATATTCGCGAGAGATGTTTAATCCAATGCTTGGAGCAAAGTTTTGATTCTTGAATTTTTTCTAACATTTTATATATTTTTCAATCTCAATTTCAAAAAGTCTAAATTTCAAATTAACTTTAATCATAATTTCACGGTTCGCAACTTTCGATTTTGCAAACATGAGCAAGTAGTTTAGAAGATTAAAAAAAAATCCAATGCCTTGTATTGTAGGTTATGATAATTTTATTTAGCACAGCTATTCTGAGACGTAGTAGTAAATAATAATATAAAGTAAATAGTAATAAAATGCTTCTGAAAGACTTTCTATGTGTATATCATAACAAATTTGCATTATATTTATAATTTTCTTAATAGTAAAAAAGAACCCGCAACAATAATTATAATCAATTCGTCGGCTACTATTAGTTGTTACGCCGTTTTGTAATGAGTGGATGGAAACCGTTACGGTACGATTCGCTTGTCCGATGTTTCAGATCAATTCTCTTCGCGACATACCGGCAGTATATCTTTTATATAATTATAGTTTTTAAGAGAATTCGTACTTGATTCGTATCTGCATCATTAACCAGAATTTATTACTGACATATTGAAAATTTTTTGATTCAACGGTTTGTCAAAATAAATTAAATTAAAAAGGCAATTGCTACATAAAAATTAAAATAAAAAAACAATAACTTAATTTAATATGGTGCATATGTCCTACAATAGAAAATGATTTTTTAATTATTGAAATAAAAAGAAACATCAATTGTTAAAATTTTACATTACAAATTTAATAATAATTAATTCATTGCGATATAACGTCAAGTCAAGAGACTAGTATGAAAGAATCGTACTTCTAATATATATATTACCGGCACGGTGCGACTAAAATTTCGCGACCTGCAACAATGTACCGTACCGGATTTCTATCTATCCTAAATCATCCCGTAGAACACTGGTATTTATCGGTTTTAGCATCGTGGTTATCAGTAAATTTTTTTTCTTCCTTTTTAAAATTTTTTTCGCTTATCGCTTCGTATCAGGAACATAGAATTATGTAATCGTTATAATTATAATGCTTCAAAATTACACCAACTGGTCATTTTTTCGTTTGATTGTACAAGGTTAAATAATTACGAATTATTTTTTTTGGGTGATGATTATTTAGATTAACTACGGAACGGCAATTCGATAAACATAGGATCTATTTTTTTTTACTAACATGAAGATGTACTGTAAATTTAATTTTAACGAGATTATGTTGTAATGAAATTCAACTTTTAATTATAAAGAACGTGGCGTTGGATAAATATAGTCGTGTATTTACCTATTTCATGCTTTATCAATATAATCCAAGCGATTTTTAATCACATTTTCCAGCTTTTCTAGACATAACATTTGTAAGTATTGAGTTACTTTGAAATTAGTTTAGATTGTTAACCATTTTATAATAAATTACAGATAAGCACATTAACGATGCATAAAACCCTGTTAAATGGATTAGATGCTATCTACATTATCCGAATGAATCCCATGACTTATGGAGATTTCTTTCTTAGAACACAGTTGCATTCAGTTCTTTTCGTTTATATTTATAAACAAAGGATAAATTTAAGCAGAAGGTTTTTATAATTAGAATTATGCAAATATGATGTAAAAATTAATTTATCAAATTTTGCCTCAACCTCGGCTCCGAATTAACGCTAATTACTAAATTAAAATTAATTAAAACCGCGAATAAAAGAAATAAATAAATAAAATTAAAATTATCGAGTAAATAAAATAATAATAAAAATGACAATATCGCAATACGAAAGGGAAGGAATTTGTTGTTTATAATAAAAATAAAGAAATGATCCTGCCTAATTCCTGTAAATCATGGTGGATAATTCGCTTGTCAAATGTTAGAAAGGCCTGCTGTAATATACAGGAGTATAATCCTTACGGAGTACAGTCCGACGATCTTTTTGAGTGCAGTCATGTCACTTTTTAGTTCATTCATATGAATTTGGATTCTGATCATCGGACAACGCAGTCCAGTAACTTGCCTACATCACTAACTTTCCATGCAGTTCAATCACTTTCAATTTACAGTTAGTATTTTAACTGTAAATTAAAATATTCATTTAATGTAATAATTAGCGATTATAACTTTATTCGTTAAAAATATTATCCATAATATTACATGATCTTTTAATAACTACAATCTAATGACAATTTACCACATAAATTCATTTACAAGATATTGTTAATTATGATTGAATCGTGGAATGATGTGCACTACTTCTTGGAATAAACATAAACTCTTGAAGACTTTTAAGAAGAGACATTATTTCAATATAAAATTTATCCATCTCTAAAAAATTTTATTACGATCATGTGACGCCCATTTGTCTTTTATGTTTAAAACGATAGAGCTTTTGCGGAGATTTATTGGGTACACATTATATAGATCATATAAATTCCAACAGTCCTATTAATCAACATTACAAGACTCTGCATGGTTATCTCAGTCTGATGGCCGAGCCTTATTAAAATTTATTCAGTCTGCATCAAAAATTCGCATGACTGCACTCAAAAGATCGTCGGACTGTACTCCGTAAGGTATAACAGAATATACAGTATTTTAAATGTAGTAACTTATTTGACTTACTAAAGTTTTAAAATTCTTTAGCAATATAATGTCCTGAATTACAATATACCAAATTATCACAAATCTTTGGTAATAGGATCTTGAATAATTCCTCAATACCGAGTAATATAAATCCTACGTTGCCTTAATTGATATTTTAAGCTGAAAAAAATACAGGTATTAAGATAAGTATATTAAATCAAATAAATCAAATAAATATTTACTTCGTCAACTCCATTGAAGTAAAATATTTAGAATTGTTAACTAAAGAGCAACTCGTTTATTACCCGATAATATTCTGATCTTGTTTCATATCTAAATTGGACCATCAATCCAAAGAGCTTACATAACCTTTACTAAATCCACATTTAGAAATTATCATATGAAACAATCTACCATTTTGTTTAGATTTACATTGTTAATAAGCTTCAATAAACTTGTCTCCAATTAGATTATTGGTTCCATCACAAAACGTCAAATATTAGGATTTCTTCCGAAGATTTTCTTCTTTTTTTACAATTAATACATTTCTCAATTTTATATTTTTAGGTTATAATTTAATAACGGGATGCATTTGCTGACTTGATGTGTCTTATGACATGAAAGTCCTATATATACACTTTATTTACTTAGTATGACTAAATATCTAAAAGAAAATTTATGAATTCAAAAAGAATTCCATCTATCAATAAACTCCAACATACTACAAAAAAACACAAGACCGCGAATCAGATTAAAGAAACTTTTTTGATTTTTAATAAATCATACCAAACCTGAGTCATCAAAAAATGGATATAACAGGGTTATTAAGCTTTATTGATTAGACAATACCACTTAACAATTTTAGACATCTGGCATATAAAACCTTGAGGTTAAAACCGATATAGAATATGAAATTTCCAGTACTTTGACCATGTTCGAGATGTAATTATAAAATTTTATCATTTTTCCTATACATAAGGTTGAAATTTTTATCGTATGAGTTATGCAAAGCAAATAAAAGAAATAACTGATGAATTTAACTCCTATTATACGATTTGTCGCGGCTCCAAGAATCAAAATTTCATCCATGGAATTCATAACTTAAGTATTACACTTAGGGTATTATCTAATATTTTAATATTTGAATGGTAAAATAAAAAAAAATAACTAATGGATCATTTGAATGATAATTATTTTTAAAAAACACCAGTGATGATCGAAGTGGAAAGGCAA